TCAAGAAAGATGAGGAGCTACTGGAGAGAGGCCAGCGGAGGGCTACGAGGATGGTGAGGTGGCTGGAGCATCTGTACCATGAGGAAAGGCTGAGGGAGCTGGGCTTGTTGAGCCTGGAGAAGAGAAGGCTGAGAGGGGACCTTATAAATCCTTATAAATATCTTAAGGGTCTGTGTCAAGAGGATGGGGCCAGACTCTTTTCAGTGGTGCCCAGCGACAGGACAAGGGGCAACGGGCACAAACTAAAACATAGGAAGTTCTATCTGAACATGAGGGAGGAAAAACTTCTTTACTTTGAGGGTGACAGAGCACTGGAAGAGGCTGCCCAGAGGTGTTGTGGAGTCTCCTTCTCTGGAGATATTCAAAATCCACCTGGACACGGTCCTGTGTAGCCTGCTTTAGGTGAACCTACTTTAGCAGGGAGGTTGGACTAGATGGTCTCCAGAGGTCCCTTCCAACCCCCACCATTCCATGATTATTTTAATAAAACAAATAAAATAGAAAAGTACTTAATTCATCCCATCACTCGTCTTGCATAGACGCTGATAGCAAATAACTCACCTGTTTGTTCTCTTTTTAATGATCAAGTTGAAAGCTGCGCCTCCTTCTCTGCACCACTTATTAGCTTAAATTTGTTCTTTGGCAGTGAAATGTAAGCATTTTTGCTAGTACTTACTGTGTTTGCCAGTAAAGCACACAGAAGCATAGCCTCTTTTCCAGTTCAAAGTGACACAGAGAAGTGGGGACATGACTGTCTCTTCAGCGCCTGGCTAACTCTGTTGTTTTTATTCCAGACTGAACACAACTTCCTGACAGTGGAGAGATACTCCAGCACTTCAAACAGCTGGCAGGTGGTACAGAATGATGCCTCCTGGGACACCAGGTGGGTGCCCTGGACAGATTTCACTGTTCCACAGACTCCATGGAATAATTAAAATTTAACCTGACGGGCTTCATTTCAGAGCTCCCACCCATAGGCTGGTCTTGTCCCTGCAGATGATGCTCTCTGGGGACTGACTGGTCCGTATTTGAGTGCTTAACATGTCCAGAAGACAACACTCTGTCTTCTCCTTAGGTATAACTTCTGCAGTGAAGGCTTGTAAATTTGGGAAAAGTAGAAGGAAGAGCAAAAGTTACAGAAGGATCATCATCCGATTTGTTCATAGCCTACATCCATCCATCTGCTGCATCATGCTGATAAATAGGATAGCAAACAGAAAATCTAAGAGGTTCACAGCAGTAGGATTTTCATAGGGAAAAGCTGGCCAGCTTTGCTGTGCATCGTAAAGTAGAAAGAGTCAACAATTAAAAAAAATTTCATAAGAAAGCAAGGTTAAGTTTAGCGATGTCAGTCTTAAGGAAAAATATCCACTAAGCAGCAAAGCTGGTGTCACCTGTCAGAGCTACACCAGAAGTCAGCACACGAGACAGGAATACTGAAGGCATCTTTTGTCAAACCATATGATTTCAAGTTACTCCCCTGTTTGAATAAAACCAGACATTTTCCCACCTGCCACTGCAACCAGTCTGTGAGAAACCAGACCCCAAAAACGGTCTATCTTGGGGTCTTCTGACCTTGCAATGTCCTGATGCAAACACATAACATCCCAGGTCAGAGAGGCAATGTTTCCCACAGCTTGACTTCATGGGGAAAGTCTTCCTCTGAATTTATGATGAGTATTTGATAGGGTGTAATTCTCTTTGCCCAAGTGCAACCAGTTACTCTCTAAACATAATCTGGTAGCCAGGACTCCGGCTGTCCCAATGGGGGAGATGGATTCCTACCTGCAGCTGGAGATATGTGTTTCTACATGCTTGCCCTTTGTTTAACACTCGAACTATGTTACCTTGTCACTCTCATTGACTTTCCAGTCAAGCTCCCTACTTAAAGGAAATGAAGACATTTTGTTACCCATATATGTAGCCCTGCCTTCTTCCCTCCTCTTCCAAAAACCCAACAGATTTCCCAAAATCTTGGCCAGGAACACTGGAAATGTTTAATAGCATGTCCCCGAGAAGACAAAAAACATATAAAAGTACGAAACTTGAAGAATGTACTGCTATGGTGCTGGAGGGACGGGAATCTAGACATCTTATTTTCCTTCCTGAGAAAGGTCAGACTTTGGATCTCTGAATGACACTTACATACTTCTGCTGATAAGGAAGAGAAGCTGTTTGGCTTTTTCCTGTCTAAACGGGCTGGCAGAAGGCAAGCCGATGCAGACAGTAATGTCTCCCTTCCTGGTGTCCCAGGAAAGTACCGAACACCACAAGAAAGGGGAAATGGTTCTGTTAAGATGAAAATGAGTCACTTTTTATGACGTTGGTGTGTTAACGTTGAAATGTCAATAGTTAAGGTGATGGGGACAAGAAGCATCAAACATTTTTGCTAGATATTAGTGGAATCTGACCATGTTTTTTTAGTACAGGAAAAATTAATGTTTGATACCATTGAATGTGCTGACATTGCAATAGGAGAGTAGCACAAAGGGAGCGCATTATTTGTGAGCTTAGTGTTGCAAAGTGTTAAATAGCATATAGCTGCATTTGTAAAATGCATATTTTCAGGGCTCAAAAGTTAGGAAGGTTTACTTAAAGGAGGCGCAGCTTTCAAGGAAGGAGATATCTGTTCTCTACCCTTTGTCCTACACTCGCGATTGCAGCAGGGACAAACTCAGTCCAGACTTGCCCTTTTGCTGGATGCTGCCTTGGTGTTTGTCCTCATGCTGTGTCTGCCATGAGGGGGGTTTAATTGCTTTCTTGGGACTGTTTAGGAGGAGGGACTGAAATACAGGGAGGAATTTGCCTGGCCCTGCCTTTAGCAAACAGCCAACAGAGATAAGACATGGTTAAATCCCCATGAGCTCATCTGAGAGAAGTCTTTTCCCAGGTGTGATCTAAGATATGTTCCAGTTTCTAAGTCCCAGAGTGGTGGTCCTGCTCCACCAAGCCTGGGAGGCACGATGGGCAGGAGGCTGGATGGTGGCATAGACCTGTCACAGCAGCATTTTCAGGTTGCAGCATTACAGCCAGGCTCAGGCTGCAGGTCTGTGGTCCCGCCCAGCTCCCAACAGGGCCAGTGTTGCAGCTATAGCAGGGTGCTTGGGGCCATGTCCAAGTAAGTCAGGGTGGTCCCCAAGGACAGAGATCCCTCACCACTTCGGACCTTGTGCTGTCACCTCGCTGTCATCTCTCAGGACAACATTGTCTTTATCTGAAGACAAGCCAGTGCAATCCACAGCCAAAACCTTGGACGAGAGCAACCAGGTGGATACATGGGCTCTGTGTCAGCCTGTGGTCTCTGTTTACCAAACCAAATTTCCACTATCATTCACTGTTTTTCACTCAGCCAAGTCTGTAAATATTTATTTTAATCTTCTCAGTAAGACTGGTATGGGGAAACTTTTTACCATTGTCAATGAATCAACACATTTTTTTCATCTTCTTCCTTTGGCTAAAGTCCTGAAATGGAAGTGCTATCTCAGCAGGACTTGATAACTCTCATGTCTGGCCCAGATACAGTTAGGGGGATATCCAGCAGTGCCCCTCATGGGCAGTATCAAAAGAAGAGCAGGTTAATCTTCTTCACCTCCCCAAGAAGTTCTCCATCACAGCCGGCTGAAAACTTCCTTGCCCCTGGATGATGTATGGCTGTCTGTAGAGGTCTGAGACTGAGCAGAAGTGGTTATGTACATGGAGTCAGCAAATGAAAGTGTGAGTCTGATGTGGAAATGGGTGCCAGAAGCCCTGAGCTCAATTATGATAGATTTTGCTTGTGACCTTCAATAAATACTCATCCTCTTGGTTCAGCATTCTCCCTGTACAGGGAAGGCTAAGCTGACAAATACTGCTCACAGACATGTATTGTATGGAGTTATGATATGGAGTTGGGAATGCAAGCACATGTTAGTATAAATATTCTTCATCTGCAAAAAGGACCACTGACTTGTTTTTCCATGTTTCCAGATAGTTTTCAGCTCTGCCAGGTTTTGGTTTGGCTTGTTGGTTGCTGCTCTGATAGCCTAAATATATGAGGAAAGGTTAAAAGCTCTTAAATCATACTTACCCGGAGTGCATTAATCTCATTCCACTTAGTGAGCTCTTGGAATATTAAAACAAATGAAAAATGGATTTCTTGCTGACTGCAGTTTTTTGTTTGTCTGCTAGGTTTTACTGGACCAAAGGATTGCTTGGTCAGAGCAACGTGACTATTGAATGGCACATCCCTCATGGCACAGAGCCGGGCATCTACAGGATACGATACTTTGGGCACTACAAGAAAAAACTGTCAAACAATGACGCTGTGTCTATTCCATTTGAAGGCACATCTTCAGCATTTGAAATCACAAGTCTGTAGGTGATCTTGTTTGTTAAAAGAATTGTTTCCTTTGAGCAGTAGATTCAATATCTGTGATGTTCACAATGCACGCCTGGGAGGTTTCTTTGTGGCATACATGACTCTATACATCATTGCTGTCCCTTGAGTGCTGCTGGTCATCCTTTGCTGTGCAAATCTTGACTTCCTGCACAGTGTTGACTTTTACCTGCAATTCAGTCTCACTAGTCCAATGTATTCTCATTCAAGCTGTTCCTGCCCTGGCCAGATCTCATTGTAGTTGATTTTTATTGTAATAGAAGTTTTAACTGTTTTTCTTTAGTCTTCAATAAGTGCTTGTTGATTATCAACAGGAATTCTGAGAGAGATGTAGTGCATATTGGGAGCTAATCCAGACCATAAAATAGTCCATAAAATTGAGCCCTGTTCGTAAAACTGTAAAGAGCTCTTGAATTCACAGGGCATCAGAAGACAAGACTCCTGAATTGTGCTCGAAGTGACTGGCAAAGATGACCTCCTAGGATGGTAAGGGGATAAATAGGATAGATACTCACCAGAAAGGTTTGAATCTAATCATTCTGGTTTAGGGCATTTGGAGGATTCATTCTCTGAATTAAAAGCCATCACATCACTGGGACAACAGTGTCAAATGAAGTGAATTACATGTAATTCTGCATAAATCAGTGGTTTCGGTTTTGGTGTCTGATGAGAGTGGCTGTATAGCGTCATACCTTAGAGATCTTGAGTAAGGAAAGGAAGGTCAGTCACTGACAAAATAAAGTGTTGAGTCAGTCAGCAGGTTTTTCCTCCTAAGCTGTGTTCTACTCTTTCTCAAATGTCACTTTGGAACTGATCAGTGTGCCAGGTGGGCTCAGGACTGCTCACCACATGTGGGTTTGCGTCATTTCAAGGCGATACTGAGCATACTTTTGGAATACAAGTCCTCTGAAAGCCCTCAAGTAGTTACCGGTGGTCTGAGAAACTACAGATGGGCTGGAAACTGAGTCGCTGGAAGGACTATCTATGCTTGCTCTGATTTTATGACCTGAAGACATCATACGTCTGTGGCACAGTCCAGAGGCAGGATGCTGGGCGAGAAAGACTTTAGGGCTGACTTTGTCCATGCTTGTCCTTATTTTAAGCTCTTGCTCAGCCCTCTGTGCACAGCAAAGGGCAGCAGATGGGATTTTGCACTTTAAACATCACTTTGGGACACATCAAAAAGATGAAAATGAAGGATGCTTACATATTGTTTCAATGGGAGGTCACTAGGGGGCATATGCAGGATGGGGATTTTGGGAGAGACCCTGCAGCTGCTAGCAAAAGGTGGCTGATGTCCAGCCCAGGGCAGGGTTGGATTTCATTGCAACAAATTTATATTTTGGGTGCTTCAGATCGAAATCGGTAAGAACTGATCTTACAAATTAAAGCTGTGGGTGAGGCAGCTCTGAATAGACCTCAGCCTGCTTGATTTTCGCAACAGGAAGGACATAAGGCAAGCAGGCTCTGGCTGGCTGAAAGTCTGCCCAGAGCCGATGGCCAAAGCCTGGGAGGGACTGGGATCACCTACAAGTAGGTCACTAGAAGTGCTTGTGGTGCCCCTCCAACCCATGAGAAAGATCAATGGTGGGTTTCACCAAAGCAGAGAATGAAGGTGTTGTCAAGGGGGTGGAAGGATGGTCCTAAAAGCTGTTGGCTGAAAGGGTTTCAACACAGAAAATTCCCCAATAAGATGGAGGATCTTCTCCTGGGTTTTTTGGACAAAGCCATGACCACCCTGACTCAGTGCTGGTGGCAGGCCCCTCCCCCCAGCGCTGCCATGGGGATGCGAAAAGAAGGGACAATGCCACAGTACCCAAGTCTCTTCCAGGCTCTGCCCCGCCCCCCCCTTCCCCATCTGGGGGCCACATGGAGAAGAAAATAATGCCTTTCAGATCTGGATTTAGGATTCTTGTAGTGTCTTAAAGATAAATAATTGTAAATGTTTAATAAGCTCCAACAATGTGTACCAATTTTGTATGCAGTCTCCTTAATTCTTCAGAGAATTGTCATATAATTTTGCTTCTTTTTAGAATCAGTAGGAGAGAATGAATTATTCATTTTAAACCAGCTGCAATCAGTCTCAGAGATCCCCACCCGGAGGAGCTCAAAGCAATCACAACATTGTGTCAGGAAAGTGAGACCTTTGGAAGAACAACCCTGGGAATCAACTCCCTGAAGGCGCTTTTAATGTCCTTTCCTAATAACTCACCCAGCCGGCCCATCTGCCCTGCTCTCGTTGGCAAAACCACTCTGATGGCATCAGTGGTGTCTGTGGGATACGGACAGCAGCAGAGGATGCTGCTCCAGCATCATACTGTGCCGTGAGACAGATTTGGTCAGTGCAGCAAATGATCCAGTCACAAAATGATCCAGAAAGATTCTTGAAAGATTTTCCCACTTTGCTCATGTTTTCATGCGGGCCCATGTATGGTGAAACACATTGCAGCCCCTTAAAACAGGGCCAGATTGTCTTTCTGAAACACAGGAGCTGCTTTCTGGTCTGAAAAAGGTGCTGTCTAACAAATCGCAGTAGAACAATCACTCTCTCTCCCCTTGCCATTTTTCTTACACTGTGAACTAGAACAAATTGCACAGGAGAGCTCCTGTTCCCCTAAAAGAAATGCATTGGGAAAAAGGAAATAGCGGTTCATTTTTTCTCAGGCAACACTGACATGTTTCAGATAATTCTGTTTGTATTATTGCATTACACTAACCACGGATTTTCTTGCAGTAATGCTTGTACTGAACATTTTTATGCAAACAAAATTGAATTGCGCAGTTAAAATGCTCATGGGTAAAAGTTACCCTCTAAAACATGAGCATCTGATCCCAAAAGAAAGTTTTTAGGTGGTGTTTCTCATGGGAGAAGAGGTGTTGAGAGCCAGAGTTAAGGTATCTGGAGTCCCACCACTGCCCCAGAGCAGGTCCCCTTGTGAAATGCTTCATAGTAGGCTTATGTATTTCTTTATCACCAGCAGGCACAGGCTTTTTAAGTTTTTGGGGAGTTTTTCTGGAACAATTCATAATTTTTTTGTGCCTAGAAAACTCAGCAGCTCCGAGTGCCGCAGTGTGAGAAAGGCTGTTGACAGAAGTCCTTTGTCTTATTTGCTCTTTAATAGCATTGTGGCTGTCATCTTCTGTTGGCATACAGTGACAAACAGCCCTTCCCTCTACCTGCACGGTTTCGCGTGCTGTTGCTGAAACCCGCAGCCACTAGGTGCCAGTGCCGTTTTGCCTGAGAACAAGCTTGCCACTGAACACAGGCAAAGCCTAGAAAAATTTTTCAGGAATTTGGGCAATTTGCCAGTTGTTAAATTTAGTATTACTCATCACAGATGCTCTTCCCTTTCTCGGACTGCTCTCCTTCAATGCCTGGCCATTTGCGCCTTGAGTACATGCTTGGGAGGCGAGCAAATCTCCACCTTTTTTTTTTAATCGTGGGACACATACTAGTATGAACTTGAGAAACTTGTTTGTGTCCACAGGCTGAGCTGTCTCACAGAGCTCCTTTGCAAAACTTGACCATGCCATAACTTTACTTCTGCACATCTTATCCCTCTCAAATTTACCAACAGTATTTGGAGCTGCAGAAGAGATGCTAAATTAGGATCTGACCCAAGGCCCTGAGGGGAAGGGGGAAAATCCCTCTGCTGCCTCCAGGCTTTGATCTGTCTGATACTGTGGTTGTCTGGTGCTGTTTCATGCATCCCACAGAGGGTATCTGTGTGCAACCTGTCTGCAGGTCCACCAGCAGCTACCTGCTTTTTAACATCTCTGCAACTAAGGTGAATATGTAGCAGGTGGGTTTGGGGACCAAGGAATGTCACCCTTTCAGCATTTCCCTTAACCAGCCACAAATCTGTACATGCACAGTCCCCATCTCCTGCAGCTAGCTGGAGTCAGGCCAGGACAAGTCTCTGGACATGGAGAGGAGTTTGAGGTGGCAGGGTATCTCCAGGGGGAGAGCAGCCCACCCCAAGCACTGCCAAAGGCCAGGGGTTGGTGGGTAGGGGCTGTTGAAGCCCACCACTGGCACTTAACAAAGGGCAGCAGAGAATTGTGATTTTAGCTGAAATCAAGGTTTTGAGGGGGACACAATAATTTCCAGCCCTTGAAAAAAGGAGCATCCCATGAGAGTACCATGAGCAGCACTGGGTCCAAGCTGACCCTCAGGCAGCTAGTGAACAGTAGGAATTTGTGGTCCTGGACTGGAATGTGGGGAAGGGTGGGTTTTTTTCCCAAAAAAAGGAAATCCAGGTAGGCACGTGATGGGGAGAGGAGATTGTCTATGGGAGATATAGCTGAGCTAGTGGGAAAGGGGAACCATGCAAGCTTAAAGATAAAGCAGCTCTGCTTGAAAGTCACTGGAGACCTTGTCCCATGGACTTCTAGAAGTGGTTTAAGTGGAACATGGGAGATACTTCCCAGGTGGGATGTTTCAGGGTCTGTGCAGCTCTAAAGGTGGAGTTGTGTAATCCTCAGACATGTTTTAGTATCACTTTGTACATCAGGTGTGATGCCCTGTGCTGTAGAGACCTCCAGCAAAGGGTTGGCTGGAAGAAGGGAGAAGGAAAATGCTGTTTTTATAGCTCCTGCCCTGCAAGCAGCCAGATGTGTGGCCATCTGCTGATTTTTCTGGGCCGTTGATCTTCTCATCACTTACGGCTCAAACATGTCTTAGACTTGTTTGTGGAGGATGGATGTGGTTTCTGGCTTTGTCTTGCTATCCACTGGGAACCCACATCTTTAGAAATGGGAAATAATGTTTTTTAAGTTGAGTTTGGGTTTGAGATTTCTTGAAAAGTCATTCTTTCTCTGTAAAATTCATCAGCCAACTGCTGCTGAGCATAGAGGGAATCTCAGTTCTCCCAGAGGGGAAAAGTTTAAGCACAAAAGCGAATTCTGACATTGCCCTGTTTTCAAAGAAGACAAAAGCGGGACATCAGGAAAGGCTAATGAGGTAAAATAATAGAGCTGGT